AAACCGTCATCTTTACTTCATAATAGACGACCCTTTTTTTAAAAAAATCGTCATCTTTACTTCATAATAGACGACCCTTTTTTTAAAAAAATCGTCATCTTTACTTCATAATAGACGACCCTTTTTTTAAAAAAATCGTCATCTTTACTTCATAATAGACGACCCTTTTTTTAAAAAAATCGTCATCTTTACTTCATAATAGACGACCCTTTTTTTAAAAAAATCGTCATCTTTACTTCATAATAGACGACCCTTTTTTTAAAAAAATCGTCATCTTTACTTCATAATAGACGACCCTTTTTTTAAAAAAATCGTCATCTTTACTTCATAATAGACGACCCTTTTTTTAAAAAAATCGTCATCTTTACTTCATAATAGACGACCCTTTTTTTAAAAAAATCGTCATCTTTACTTCATAATAGACGACCCTTTTTTTAAAAAAATCGTCATCTTTACTTCATAATAGACGACCCTTTTTTTAAAAAAATCGTCATCTTTACTTCATAATAGACGACCCTTTTTTTAAAAAAATCGTCATCTTTACTTCATAATAGACGACCCTTTTTTTAAAAAAATCGTCATCTTTACTTCATAATAGACGACCCTTTTTAAAAAAAACCGTCATCTTTACTTCATAATAAACGACCATTTTTTAAAAAAAACCGTCATAAAAAACCGTCGTCTTTACATATAATAGACGGCAGTTCTTTCAAAACAACCATGTCTTTACCAAAAAAAGGACACTTGATTTTTAAAAGACGACGCTTGTCATACCTGCTGTCGTTGTTTTTTGGTCAGATTTTAACTATGAAGAAAAGCTTTTTAATAAGACGACGCTTTTTTATTTGTGTGCGTCGTTATAAAAAAATTCTCAACAGTATCTCCATTTTTTAGTTGTTTAAGTCACTTATCCACGACGGTTTTTTGTTACCGTCGTCTTTTTAAAAACAACGACGGTTTTTTGTTCTTCCGTCGTCTTTTTCTGGTCGTCTTTTGCCCTTTTTGTAGTAGTGCTCTCCTAATCTGTTTCAGCTCTCTTTATGATGAGACTAGAGAATTTATCAAAAATAGCCAAAACTTGATCCTTAATTTCAAAATGTCAGTTTTTGTAAAATATTTCAAATATAGCAAAAAACTCACCTAAATAGACACAAATGCTCTCAAATTTAAAACCCGTATAAACCTAAAAAATAAATAGAAAATTTGTCATAAGTCCAATTATGAGGAGAGATATTGGGTGCAATCCGCATAGAAATTGTTGTTGATCCAAGTCCTTTGACTTTTGCGCCACATAAGATTACATGCCTTTTTCAATTTATTAATATTTACTTTTTTTTATTTTTTATTTTTTGTTCCAGTTATGCACCTAAAACATAAATAAGGTAAAT